TGCCTCACTTCCTCTTTGTCTGTGTCACTGTGGTACCCACTCTGGCCACCATCATTATAGCTGACACCACAGATGTAATCAGCCTCGTCATCAGACTGGAGGCTGCTGATGGTCAGGTAGCGCTCAGCCCCGGAGCTGGAGCCGGAGAAGCGGCCGGGAATCCCGTCCCCTCTGGTGACTTCTCCGTCACTGGTCAGTTTCATCAGATACCGAGGGGCCTGCCCAGGGCTCTGCTGATACCACTGAATGAAGTGCGTGCTATGCTCACTGCTCAGGGTGCAGGTGAGCGTGGCCGAGCCTCCCAGGGAGGAGGCCGCAGACGGGGACTGGGTCAGCACAGGCCGAGCACAGAGCCCTGCAGAGAGAAAGGCAGGTGGGGCTGAGGGCGCCCACACTGGGAGCGGACCCTCAGGACTGAGCCAGACGGAGGGGCCGGGAGCCCCCGAGGCCCGAGGCCACACTGACCTGTGTTGATCAGCAGCGACAGCAGGTAGAAGAGGACCCAGGCCGTGGTGGGAGGCGCGTCCTGACCTCTGCCCTGAGGCTGCCCAGCTGGACTGGCCTCTCCAGGCCCCCGTTTGATCCTCTCCCCTGCAGCTCCAGGAGGGCAGTGCATGCCAATCAAGTCCCCGCCCCCGTCCTGGGTCTCAGCTCCTGTCTCAGCCCTGAGCCCAGGGCCTCACTCTGGGGATTCCCCGGGGTCAGACACAGGGCCACGTGCGGGTTTCAGAGGGACAGACATTTTCCCCAAGAGAAGTGTGTTCAAGGAAGCACCAGTCATGCCCTTTGCACTTGAGCCCTGCCCAGGGGATGGGTACCAGGGAGGGTCCAGAACCAGGATCCGCAGCGCCCCCTGGTGCCCCGGGTTGGTCGTTTTTCTAAACCTGTAGCTCCAACACAGTGAGGACTTGTGAGCCCCAGTCGATGCCAGACCGTTGGGGAGTTTCCTGCATCTCCTCCCCTGGCGTCATAATAAGCCCACAGCGCCCTCTGTGACGGCTCAACCTCTCCCCAGTGTAATGAGCAGGAGCCAGCACTGGGAGAGGAGGTGATTTTCCCTTAGTCCCACGGAGTTGCAAGGGTCGGACATGACTTAGAGACAAACCACACCATCACCCAGACAGGGATGAGTGGGACAAGATTCCATCTAGGGCACTGACCGTTCAGCCCCCACCCTCCCCTCCCCTCACCAGGCCCCAGAGCTTCCGCCTTCCCCCTCCCCAGACCTCCTGAACCCCTTCTCTCACAATCCTCTGTTCTTTATTCAGGTACACTGGATCCTGTGTCAATCAAATATTCCTTATGGTCCACCTCTTTTCTAGATCTGCACACAAAATATTTCTTTATGGCTTGTCATGGAGTTCATGGAGATGATCTCCCAGCGAAAGGGAAAATGTGGCTAGATTTATTAACACATTCACAAGTTATTGTCATTCATTTCAGAGACTATAATAAAAATGTGCTCGATGGCTCAGAACCACCTTTAAAATTATAGCTGCATTACTGTCTTGCCTTCAGATGCAAGTCACATGGATCCATGTGTAAAATTCCCCTGTTTTGGGTGACCTCAGTACCCTTGATCTGGGTGGAAATGGGGTCTTCAGTTCTTGCCCAGCAATGCCTCTGGGCTGTGGGACCCTCCACCGCCTCCTGGTGGTGGCACGTGGTTCTGCAGGCACAGTTACCTGAATGAAACCACTTCCATCTCAATGCCTCTTCCAACATGGTGACTTCCCACAAGCCACACTGGCTGCTGATCATGCACTGGGAGTCGTCCTAGTGAGATGTGCTGCAGATTCAAATACCCACCAGGTTTTAAAGATTTCAGATAGAGAAGTGTTGATTGTGTCAATATTTTTAATTCATATCCAGATGATATTTTCAACTAATTGTCTAATTGAGTAAGCAAAATTAATTTTGGAAACAGCATCTAATTCTTCTAATTTAAAAAGTGCTTTTGGAAAATTTAAAATTACTTACATATTTTTTAATCGACACGGCAGCACAGCGAATTCACCACATCGGTCACTGTTTTTTTTTTTTAAAAGGAGAGAGAACTTCCTGGCATGCTCAGGAAAGGCCAAGTCTCAGCTTTGGAAGCACAGTGAGAGGCCGCAGGAAGGTGGTGAGGACCAGGGACTCAGATGGAGTGCTCCAATAAACTACTTTTCACTTTTGCTACATCCACGTGCTGTCCATCTTGTCCAGAGTGGTTCAGTCTTCAGATGCTGTAATTTCCATTAAGAGAAATTCAATTTGAATCATTTTCAAGCTCTCTCTTGTTTCTACTTAACATGTTAAAACTCACTTTATCTCAGGAAAAAAAAAGAAACCTAATGATAAAAGTTGGTTTTGTGTCCTTGCCTATAAAGTATATCACCTGGGCCATTTCAGGGCATGTTTGAATCGATAGATTTTGTACTTACTATAGCTCCTATCTTCTTGATTCTTTACAGGTAATTTTTGTTAGGAACCGGGTACTGTGAATCATTCCTTGCTGAATACGGGATATTTATATTTTCCCCTAATTTTTCTTGTTTTTACTTTTGGTTTTACCTTCAGGAAAGTCACTAGGACTCACGAAAGTCCTTTCTCCACGTGTTATTTCAGTCTCTTACATGGGGTCAGGACAGCCTTTCCTCTGGGCTAAGCTTCCCCACAACATGGGTTCGGGGGCCAGTTCTCCTGACTCTTCACCTGAGGCCTTAATGCGGAGCTCCCCCGCGTCTGGGCAGCCGGCCCTGCTGTGAGCTGCGTGTGTCCCTGCCCAGCGGCCTGCAGTGTCCGTGGAGGTCGCGTCCTCACCCCTGGTCACCTTGTCCCACACGCGGTCTCCTCGGGTCCGANTCGGGGAAGGCCTTCTGCCTGTGTCACAGAAATTAGGGAGTAGTCTATTGAGGCAGGCATCAGAAAGACAGATATCATCTTTAAGGTGAGCGCTGGGGGGGCAGCTTTTCAGAATCCCTGAAAACCTGATCCGCCTTGCCCTTCAGGTTTTCTCCCTCATGGCCTTGTCATGGGTGGGATCTTGTGAGCTGGCTCCCGGCACCTGAGACCATCCCATTTGTTGCTAACCATTCAAATGTATTTTTACTCAACTAAAACCCCACATAATAGAAAATACCAAACCTTTCTTTTAAAAAGAAAAAAAAAAACACCACATTGGACATATGTCTTCCTTTGCCTGTCTTTAAATGAGACGTGAGTTCTATGTTTCACACCATTGTCAAGAAAACACCATGGAGCCTGGTCCTGGGAACCCTAAATCCATTCCTGACCCCCCTGTGCAGAGCCTGCCTGGAGGGCCGGAAGGAGGGGCCGCCTGGAGGGCTCAGCTCCGGGGGATCCGGGCCAGGCCTGTCGCTGCTGAGTCCACAGTCCTCCCGGGGCTGGAGGAGAGTGTGAGCAGGACGGGAGGGTTTGTGTCTCACTTCCCCGTCTGTCTGTGTCACTGTGAGCACCACCACTGATATCAGCTGACTGACAGTAATAGTCGGCCTCGTCCTCGGCCTGGGCCCCGCTGATGGTCAGGGTGGCTGTGTCCCCCGAGTTGGAGCCAGAGAACCGGTCAGGGATCCCTGAGGCCCGCTCTCTATTCCCATAAATGACCATCACAGGGGCCTGGCCCGGCTTCTGCTGGTACCAGTTAGCACCAATGGAATCAAAATCATCTCCCTGGCAGGTGATGCTGGCCGTCTGTCCCAAGGACACGGACACCGCAGGCGGCTGAGTCAGCTGAGAGGTGACCGCACGAGCTGGAAGAGAGAAGAGAGTGAGTGTGGGAAGAGGGCCTCCTTCTGGGCCCCCCATGCCCCCTGCGGCAGCCTCTGTGCTGAGCTGACGTTCAGGGCCGGGTGAGCCCTGGTCACTTGGGGGCCGCGCCGGGGGGCCGCACCTGTGCAGAGAGTGAGGAGGGGCAGCAGGAGATGGGTGCAGGCCATGGTGGGCGCGCCCTGAGCTCTGCCTCTGAGCCCGCAGCAGCGCCGGGCTCTACGAGCCCCTTTATTCCCTCTCGGAGCTTTGAGGGGGGCAGCGAGGGTTTGGTTTATGCAAATTCAGCCCCCGGGGCCCCTCACTGAGAGGCAGGGTCACCACACCATCAGCCCTTGTCTGTCCCCCGCTTCCTCCTCGGCTTCTCAGGTCTGCACATCAGACGTGTCCTCAGGATGGAGGTCACCGTCACCTCCCCTGTGTCTGACCACATGCCCGCTGTCCTAACTCCCCCGCCCCCCCGGCCTGTGGTCTCCCCTGGACTCCCCAGCGGGGCGGTCAGCCTGGCAGCGTCCTGGCCGTGGACTGAGGCATGGCGCCCTGGGGTTCACTGTGGATGTGACCCTCAGAGGTGGTCACTAGTCCTGAGGGGACGGCGTGTCCATCCTGACTTCCTGCCAAGCGCTGATCCTTGGACACCTGTGGACCCGCAGGCCTGGTTCCCCTGGAGGTCCCCTTGGGCAGCCCCGCCTCTGACCTGCGGCTCCCGGCCGCACGCTGCTGCTGGAGGACGATCAGAGCAGCCGCTCCCCTCCGGCAGGCCACCCCAAGGCCCCTGGCGCCAGAAGGGGTGTGGGCCTGGGAGTGCAGCCCTGCCTCTGGGCCAGCTGTGAGCCCTGGCCTGCCCACACAGAGAGGACCCCTGCTCCATGAAGCCGCTGCTCTAACCCTGTCTCAGGGCAGGAAGGGCTCCGCTGTCCCTTTGGCTTTCTCAGTGGGTGGAGAGTCCAGGATAACTCTAGCTGTAAACTGTCAGCTTCCGGCAACATGTGCGACCCCCCAGGGACCCAGGGTTCCTTGTATTGGTACACCGAGGTTGGCACTAGTCCCACCCCAGGAGGGCGGTTGGCATGGCGCCCTGGGGTTCACTGTGGATGTGACCCTCAGAGGTGGTCACTGTGTCCTGAGGGGACGGCGTGTCCATCCTGACTTCCTGCCAAGCGCTGATCCTTGGCCGCCTGTGGACCCGCAGGCCTGGTTCCCCTGGAGCTCCCCTCGGGCAGCCCCGCCTCTGACCTGCGGCTCCCGGCCGCGCGCTGCTGCCCCCTGCTGGCCACCCCACGTGCTGCCTCTAGTGGAGCTCTGATTTCTCAGCGTGGCTGTGATTACTGTCTCTGTACAGTCATGTCCCTGTGAAGGGCTCACTTAGCTTTTCTCACACTAGAGACCATGGTCCTCCTGTGTACAGCGATCACATCCTCTCTGTGGAACTTTTGCAGAAGATTCTGCAGCCAGGAGTCAGAAGGGATCTTAGCTGAGAAATGCTGCATCAGAGAGACCTGATAACCAATGTGAGGAGGGGAACCTGGAAGATCTTATCTGGTGACAATACCCACAGCTATGACAGATGTTCTGGGCATCAGGGAATGTGGGGGCTGTGGACTGGTGAGATGTGTGTGAAATCTTCCAAATACACACATTCATGCAAATATATGTGTATGTACACGCAGAGAGAGAGCCAGAGGCTGTGAGTGTCAGAGCACCAGGTACCCACGGTACCTCCACAGATGTCACAGCACAACGATTTCTTCTGGTTTCTTGGTCAATTGACCTCACAATTCAAATTCTTGTACTCCATGATGAACTGAACAAATTTAAAAATACTGCAAAACATACTTCGTGTGTTTGTGTGTACGTTCAGTCTTCATGACCCCATGGACTCTAGCCTGCCTGACTTCTCTTCCACGGAATTTCCTAGGCAGGAATAGTGGAGTAGGTTGCCATTTCCTTCTCCAGTAAATATACATACATGAAGGTTACTATTTTAATCACCGAGATGGTTCGTAACGTGTGTCCCAGTTGTCAGGGAAACCAGGTGCCGTTCCATTTAATTCTGGAGTGTCTGGGGGGAGTGTTTCTGGAGGACATGAGCATTTGAACCTTCTGATTCAGCGAAGCAGGCGGCCCTCCCCGTGTGGGTCCTGGAGGAACAAAAGGCTGAGGAAGGCAGAGTCCCCTCTGCCCCGACATGAGGTCTCTGCTCAGAAGAGAGATAGTATAATGAAGAAGAAAAGAAAAAAAATGAACTGTTGGAGCTCAATCCTCTGGAGCTAAACTGCACTCTGAGGGTCGCATGCAGAAATTCTAGATACGAGACATCTCACCCCACCCCACTCCCAGGCTTTCGCAAAAGGATGGGATGAAGGAGGCAGGACAGTGACCTGGGGGCCATCACAGCCAGTCCTGCAGGAAGACTCGGGGAGCTCGGGTACAGGTGAGTTCTTCAGAGCCCTTCAAACTGGGAGCAGGGGCCCTGCCTCTATCTCCCCCTCCACACACAGGCCCTTAAGTTGCATCTGCACTGGGATGAGGAGTGTCACTGGGGTCAGACTACAGCAGAAACAAGATCAGGATCTGGGGCTGTGGACCCCAGTGTCCGGGGAAATGAGGGCTTCAGTCCTGCAGCTGACGAGCTGGATTCGGGCTGTCACACAGGACACCTGGGCAGTGATGGTCACAGCACAGCTACTTCTGGTGTTATGACCATTAAAGAATAAAAACAGACAGACACACACACAGTGGACAGGGGAAAAAATGAGAATCAGTGCATGAACAGAGGGCAGATGTATAATGTGCAAATGTAATGCAAGATTTAAACAAAAATATAACCTATGGGGAGAAATCCAAACATGTTAAGAAGAAGAGAGAGAGGAAGGAAAGAGGAGGAAGAAGAAGGAGAAGGAGAGGAGTAGGAGATGCAGAGGGAGAGGGAGGGGAGAGGGGGAGGAGGGGGAGGGGCCGGAGAGAGGGACGACTGGGGGAAGAGAAGGAGAGAAGGTGACAGAGGCCAGTGTTAACCCAGAGTCAGGCCACCCAAGGTCAAGAAGCAACAGTTAGAACCAGACACGGAATAATGGACTGGATCCAAATCGGGAAAGGAGCTCATCAGAAGTGTATATTGTCACTCTGCTTATTTAACTTACATGCAGAATACATCATGCAAATTGCTGGGCTCGATGAAGCACAAGCTGGAATCAAGATTTCTGGGAGAAATATCAGCAACCTCAAATATTCAGATGATACCTCTCTAATGGCAGAAAGTGAAGAGGAACTAAAGGGCCTCTTAACGAGACTGAAAGAGGAGAGTGAAAAAGCTGGCTTGATACTCAACATTAAAAAGACTAAATCCTGGCATTCACTCCCAACACTTCAGGCAAATAGATGGGGAAAAAGTGATAACATGACAGACTTTATCTTCTTGGGCTCTGAAATCACTCTGAGTGGTGACTGCGCCATGAAATTAAAAGACACTTGCTTCTTGGAAGGAAAGCTATGACAAACCTAGACAGCATACTAAAAAGCAGAAACATCACATTGCCCACAGAGGTCCACATAGTTGAAGTTACAGTTTTTCCAGTCGTCATGTATGGATGTGAGAGCTGGAATACAGAGAAGACTGAGCACCAAAGAATTGATGCTTCCAAATTCTGGTGCTGGAGAAGACTCTTGACATTCCCTTGGACAGCAAGGAGATCAAACCAGTCAATCCTAAAGGAAAGCAACCCTGACTATTCATTGGAAAGACTGATGCTGAAGCCTCAATATTTTGGCCACCTGATGTGAGAGTTGGACTATAAAGAAAGCTGAGCGCTGAAGAATTGGTGCTTTTGAACTGTGGTGTTGGAAGAAGACTCTTGAGAGTCCTTTGGACTGCAAGGAGATCCAACCAGTCCATCCTAAAGGAGATTGGTCCTGAGTGTTCATTGGAAGGACAGATGCTGAAGCTGAAACTCGAATACTTTGGCCACCTGATGCGAAGAGCTGACTTATTGGAAAAGACCCTGATGCTGGGAAAGATTGAAGGCAGGAGGAGAAGGGGACGACAGAGGATAAGATGGCTGGATGGCATCACCGACTCAATGGACATGAGTTTGGGTAAACTCCAGGAGCTGGTGATGGACAGGGAGGCCTGGCAGGCTGAAGTCCGTGGGGTCGCAAAGAGTGGGACACAGCTGAGTGACTTAACTGAACTGAATTGTCGATATTTTTGACAGCAATTTTCCCTTACTTTGTCTCCACCCTTCATATCAGACATCAGCACTCAAGCTAGACAGGGGTGTACCTGGAGGAAAGTTCTGCCTTTTCTTTTCAAAGCAATCCACAGGTGACATTTCTCTATTTCTGATGTGGACATTCCCCTGCAGCCGCTGGAGTTCTGTGTCATGTAGGAGGTTTGTGTGTGCCTGGTCCAGGTTGTCACGTGGTTATTCAAATATTCTCCAGGGGAATCTTGTTTGTATGAAAGTTCACTGATTTTGTAGGACACCCAGAAATTTCCCCTTGCACCTCTAAGGGTTAGGACAGTGGCTTGCTGAGCAAACCAGTGAGATGGTCTGGATTTTCTTTTTTTATGTGAGGGAGAAACATATCCAGCCAACAAATCATGGGTCAATAGCTGTCCAGGTAGCAACCCAGTTCCTCCCCGGACCTTGTCTTCCTCTGAGACAAGGTGTAACTGAGGTGTTTTGGTGTAACTGAGGTGTTTGCTCGCAGGGCTGGGGCAGCACTTTGAAACAGAAAGGCGTTCCTGGTGGCCCTCGTCACTTACAGCACCTACACACGGGCACAGCCTGAGGGGTCTGGGATTCAGACGCAGCTCGGGGCCAGTGTGATACTGCCTCTGAGGTAAGAATTCGAAGGGCAGGAGTGACATGTGGTCAGGGAGTGGCACGGGGGAGTTTCTGGGTAATAAATCTGGGTATGTGCAGCTGCGTAGCTCAGGACGGAGCCCGCGGAGCAGGAGCAGGGTTGACAGGAGTGGGTTGAGACCCCCCTTGGCCTTCACTACTTTATCCGGGGCCTGAAGACCTTCAAGGAGGGTCAGCAGCTGCGGGTGGCTGAAGGTCCTCTGGGCCTGAGCCCTGTCTACTGTCCCCCGTGGTGACCGGTCACTGCCGTCCCCAAACACCTGCAAATTTTCTGCTGTGAGTGCAGCGCAGGATTTAGGGAGCGGCCTTGATGGGGAAAGGCAGG